GGTGGGAGCCTCTCCCGCCTCTGCAGCAGCGCTAAGGAGCAGCAAGCAGGCGGGCAGTAAGGAGAGAGGGGTCCCGGACTTCGAGAGGGTGCAGGCCGGGCTGAGGGACCCTCTCCCCTCCCCCCAGTATATGAATTTCATGCACTGGGCCTCTAATTTATTTATCAGCAGAAATCAGCGCAGAGAGAGCATTCGGTTGTAGGTGGCAGGAATGGCACCAGGTGTCTGAGTGGTGGGGTCAGACTGGACCTGGGTTCAGCAACCTCGGTACTTGAGTTCTAGCTAGGAAAGAATTCAGAGCCAAGACTCAAACTATAAAAGAACATTTCTTTATAAAATTACAGAGGTAGAAGAAGTAATACGTAGAAGAGATGGGCTGAGGAAATAAGTTATGGAGGCAAAAGAAGGGCCCTAGGAGCTTGGGAGTGAGGAAGGTAATGGTAACGTGCCTGAGGGTGGGGGTGGAGGGTAGGACAAGGAGAGGCACTGGGAGAAAGCACTGGGTCCTCCATCCTAAAGGTTTTAAGATTTTAGGGGAGGTCCCAGAGGAAGATCTTAATAGAATATTTGGCAGTTTTCTAGGCGTGTCCTTTGGGGTTGTGGTCTCCACTGATTGGCCAGCACCAGGGCAGGGGGTCATTATTCAATGCAGCTGGTCCTGAGGTCAGCCATGGGTTGCTGGTCTGGTTTTGTTGCTTTTTTGGACCCATAGCCGAAATACAACTGAGGTGTAAATGTTATCTCTAGGGAGAAAAGGTCAAGAGGTTAAGACCACCTGACCATGGATACGCTAGGGGACGAGAGGCCACGCTGGTGGCGGGGTCACACCCTACAGTTCTCCGCTGCTGGGCACCTGTAGCTTTCTGCCCTGGTGACCTTCTGTACCTGGCCCATCACACTGGCTCTGCTCATGTCTGTCTATCACAGTTCTGTGGGCCCATTCCAGGCCTGGGAGCAGAGTCATGCTCTTTAAACAGCCTCGGGGGTCACCCTGCAAAAACCCAAATGAGGATGTTTCGGCTCGGATACGTCCTCAAGGAGAAAAACCAGTTTAAAACATGCACGCAGGAGAACCACAGTGTGATGCTCAGGTCAGAAAACGAGGCTCAAGAAATGTTCAAACCAGGCACCTTTTTATGTTTTTTGTACAAACACACGTGTGAGAAACTGACAAGACAGAGAAAGTCACTGCTCACTAAAAGGAATGTAAACAGGGCTTGGGCTCGGGCGGGACAGGCTTGTTGACACAGCTCTCATTCCGGATTCCCAGCTGTGATAAGGTTGTGTCCCAGCCCTTGGGATGTTCCCTCCTGCTTTCAGGGACAGAGGAGAGTCAGGCCTCATCCTGCTCCTGCTGCCTCCCGGGTGACTGCAGTTGGAAATAATCACTAGGTCACCGTGGAATATGGCGGGGTGGCCTGTCCTGGGCCCCGACACGCCTATGGCTGTTATGGATAGTGCTGTTATGAATATGGGGGTGCGATTATGTCTTGAAGAGCCTGCTTTCAGTTCTTTAGGGTTCACACGCAGAGGTAGGGTTGTTGGGTGGGAGGAATACTTCAGAACGCTCCTGATCAGAGGAGAGCAGACTCGTGCCTGTGCTCCAAACCCATCCAAGGGAGCAGACAACATCATGCCAGGGCACAGGGCCCCACCCCGCCTGCCCTCTGAAGGCACCTGTTACCGGACTGGGTACCTGGCCCGAGCGGGTCTGCCTAGGGCCGACGGGTAGTGTGTGGGTTCTTGAATTCGTGCAAGAAAACTTTCACAGCACAAGTCCAGGTGAATTTTAGAGGACGTTTATTAAAGCTGGGGACAATGAAACAAGGAAGGGCTGGGGAAATGAGCCTGGGATGGGCTGCTTTGGCTCCCTAAGAAGTCAGAGAAAAGGAGGCCTTGGAGATTTTTCTGGGACGAACTGCCACTGCCCACTGTGGCCCTGGTTGTAAGCCTCCCGGGGTCCCTAAGAGTTTAGGAGCTGCATGCCTGTGGAGAAAGAGGCGGGGAGGCCAGGTGTGCTCCTAGCCAGGCGGGACCTTTGTTTTGAGGGGATTGTAAAGGCTGCGCCTTTAGGAGAGGGCTTAGGGGAGGATCTAAATAGAATATTAGAGAGCTTTACGTTGATGGGTCAAATGAGATTGATCCCCTTCACCCAGATGATCCCAGGGTGTGGTTGGCAAATGGCACTAATTGGATTTCTGCTATCTGTCTCCCAGAGTAGGATGATTTAAGCTATTTACCCTCTGGCTGGGGAGGAGAAGTGCAAACTCCTAAGTGTCCCTGGTTTAGAGAAGATAGGATTTACTAGATGGCTACAACTGCTGCTTAACTCTCTGTCTCCGTTTGCCTATTCCCTTTTACCTGGCTTACAGGCCTGTCTCTCTCACACACACTGCAAGGCTGGCCCAGCCCAGGGTATTTGGACACACAGACCAGGTCCCCACTCTGTTGTCACCACCACCCCACCCTTTTCCACCAAACAAGACTCTGAGCCCAGCTCCGGGACACACCCAGTAGTCCAGTGCCTGTGTTGTGGACCAGCGTTCGTGAGAATAAGACCACCGACTCCAATTAGGTCTAAAACAGCAAGCGAGGATTTATTGAACTGGCCAGTGACTGCCTCGGACTTCTCCACGCAGGGAGCATGCCCAAACAGCAGCCCCAGCCTTGGGGTCAAGCAAGCTTTTATTTGCACAAACCACAAATATCCTTCATAACTGTTACAATGCTCTATAAACCACAAACATCCTTTCACAATACTCTATTCAGGGTTCTCACGCACAGGTGTGCTGACCAGGAACTTCTAGGGCCATGCATGGCCACCCATCCTTAGCCATATCCTTGGTCTTGTCAAATTCTCAGAACTCGGAACAGGTCACCTCAACCTTTGCTAAGTCTAAAATTTCCCACTGCTACTTTAAGTTTGCTTTAAGCCTAGTGCACTACACCTGTCCACCTGCCCAGGCCAAGCCTGGTGAAAAGCCACCTGGATGGCAGGACGACATCAGGAAGCCAAACCAGGCCCCTTGCATGCCCTGTCCTGGCACCCCACCTCCCTCAGCACTCAGAACCGAGCCTGGGCCCAACTGGCTCAAGGAAATACTGAACAGATGAGGTGGACAAAGGAGTGACAGGTGCCCAGGACTGCAGGAGCAGAGGGTAGGGGGAGCCCAATCAGGACCCTGTGAATCGTCCTCACCCTGAGGGCACGTGCCTCTTAGGCCCACCCTACCCTGGGGAGATACCTGGGCTTCTCCTTGCTAAGGGCTCCGCCTTTTTCAGGACCCCTGCCCCAAGGCTGTCACACCCAACCAACAGGAGGGGCTGTCTCAGGGTGGCTGCCTGGGGCCCTGGGAGGGACCCAAAGGTTTTTATAGCCAGGGATGAAGGCCTCACCAGATTAAGCCCAAAGATCTTGCCTGCAGCTGGTGCCCTGGTGGCTCAGCCCCATCCAAGTTCCAGCCTCACCAGGTCCCGGCCCCTCTGCAGTCCCAGCTCCGATGCCGGCCCACCATCCCACAGGCATGCAGGGAGCCCACGTGCTGCTGCTGCTGCTGCTGCTGGGCCTCAGGATACAGCTCTCTATTGGATTCATCCCAGGTAAGGGGCCCCTTCCAGCCGGCCCCACACACAGGGCGCTCCCCCAAGGCTGACCTGACCTCCCTCTCCCCTTGTCCAGCTGAGGAGGAAGACCCAGCCTTCTGGAACCACCAGGCAGCCCAGGCTCTGGACACCGCCAAGAAGCTGCAGCCCATCCAAACAGCCGCCAAGAACCTCATTCTCTTCCTGGGGGACGGTGAGTGGTCATGGCATGTTCATTCCCAGAGCCCCACAGTCCTGGTACCCAGGGCTACCTATGGGCACAGCCATGCCTGCGGACTCAGACCTGACTGGGTTCTACTCCTTCAGGAATGGGGGTGTCCACGGTGACAGCAACTCGGATCCTAAAGGGGCAGATGAATGGCAAGCTGGGACCTGAGACCTCCCTGGCCATGGACAAATTCCCATTCCTGGCTCTGGCCAAGGTAAGGGCTGGGTGGCCTCAGGGTGCTCCACACCACAGGGGTGGGGTGTGCCTAGGGAGCCTGGTAGGAGGGAAGGCCCCAGGAGGGTTGGGGCCTGAGTTAGGGGCCCAGGGCCTGGTCATGATCTGGGTGTCTGTCCCAGAGAGGAGCTGAGGGTGTCTCTGTCCCCAGACATACAACGTGGACAGACAAGTGCCAGACAGTGCAGGCACGGCCACAGCCTACCTGTGTGGTGTCAAGACCAACTTCCTGATCATTGGTGTGAGTGCAGCAGCCCGGTACAACCAGTGCAACACAACACATGGCAACGAGGTCATCTCCGTGATGAACCGGGCCAAGAAAGCAGGTGGGCTTGGGGCCAGCCTAGTGGGCAGGGGTCGGGCCCAGAGGGCACAGTGGCTCACCCTGACCTGACCTCCGTCACCCTCAGGGAAGTCAGTGGGGGGTGGTGACCTCAACGAGGGTGCAGCATGCCTCGCCAGCTGGCACCTACGCGCACACGGTGAACCGCAACTGGTACTCGGATGCAGACATGCCTGCCCAGGCGCTGAAGGACGGCTGTCGGGACATCGCCACGCAGCTCATCACCAACATGGACATTGATGTGGGTCATGAGGGCAATGGGGACCTGAGCAGAGGGGGTGGGCCCCATGCTGGCCACAGTCCCAGGCATCCCACAGCCTGAGCCCCGGGGCCTGGGGCCTGGCAGTGTCTCTGGGCACTTGGGAGGTGGTGTAGAAGGTACAGGCAAGCCAGGCCTTGCCACAGACCTGGTGGGGGGGGGACCTAGAGATGGTTTGTCCAGGGGGCCAAGGGCCAGGCAGGCCCCAAGCTCACCTGCCCTACTCCTCTGGCTCCAGGTGATCCTGGGTGGAGGCCGCAAGTACATGTTCCAAGGGACCCC